TGAGTTCAGGTGGAGGCTGTAACCAGCATGGCAGTGATGCTGTGAATGTGCTGTACATTTGTCTGAATAGTTTATTCTCCTGTCAGCTTAATGGTGTTCCTGTTGGTAAGAGGGCGGGGCTACAAATCTGGATTGGTCATTTGCATAAAATAAAAGAGGTTTAAAAAAAGCTGTGAAATAAAAATTTCAAAGTGAAATTTTAGCTTTATTTGTAATTTTTTAAACGATGATTGGACATCTTTTATAAATAAAAACAGCTTGCATTGCTTTGCTTTACCTTGCTGTTTCTACCACATGAGAATACTTTAAAGGACCACTCCTGTGATTAAATGATGCACTTATAGTTGTGGGACTTGCAACTGACAGATCAAAACAGAAAATAAAGGAAGGTAAAAAAATCTAAATATATTCTGAGTATTGGTCACTAGTATGGTTCAAGCGCCAGAAATACTGGGTCTTACATTCCCCATGATGCAGCATGTGAAACGTAGGATTGAGTGTCGGGACATTTTTAAGTGTTTCTCCATGCAGTACTGTATTTGTCAGCAACTATGAAATTTCCTGCTGACATATTTTGTATGATTAGAACTTTACAATATTGTCATTCATCATGCACCAGCCTCTACTTTTGGGTGCCCATACATTAATGCACAATTGTATCTGCTTACAACTACATTAAAGTGTGTTTATTAAATGTTTAGATAGCACAAATTAATGCTAAATAGGGGAACTTAAAGTGAAATGTTACCCAGCTCTCACACTGATAAATAGTCAAAGTCAAAAGTGTTATATTTTTTCATTAAGGTAAACTCATAAAGTATTTTACACACTATTAATTGCAAATTTGTATTTTTTCCCAGGTTTCATTCTTTAAAAAAAAGAATGCTCTGCAATGTATCAGACGCTGATATCAGTATCATACATCTTAGTTGAGCGCTCACACTCATTGGTGATGAAGAGCTTCTCTGATGAACCTGGAGATCCAATTTGTGTTTGCAACCTTGCCTCCTGGTTATTGGTCCACCTGCTCTTGGGGGATTACTCACACGGCAGCAGCTGTTGTTGCTCCAGTTTTAATGTCACTCATTTTGATTAATTATCCTGCGTGAAAGTACAGATCTTCAAACTGTCTGTCTCATTATACCCAGAAATGTATTATTGCATCTGTCTAATTATCTTCCTCATAGGTTACTGGAGAAGCCCAATCAACTCTCTGACTTGTCTTCTTTATTGCTTTTATTGCTCAGACGTGCCCTGATTCGTTAGGAGAGAATTGGAAGACATGGGGGTGAGAACCACAAAGAAAAAATACTTTTTTAAATTCTAACAATAACTCACTTATTCCTTAATCTATAGTATTATGTTCTTAGAAGCTCATGGTTAAAAATACCTCACTGTTTACTTTCATTTCAGTCATTAAACTCCACCGTGCGGAGCAATTTCTATCCCACTACCCTCCCACCATCTGATCCCTGATTTACATCACAATTACCGAGTGACACTCTCTCATCCTCCCTTCTGACAGTTTCCCCGTAAAAACCCTAATTATACCGTCAAGTCCTAAAGGTAGTGTTGTTCAAGGAGGCTTTACAGTCCAGCATCCTCAGGGATTTTAAGCACAGTTTCTCCAAAAACTTTTTGAAGGCACTGCGTGCCTGCTTTACTGCAGTTTCATTTTCACTGTGCAGTAGTTGGTTGGCGTTTTTCATGGCTTGTTCTGTGCTTTAAAATCACAGTTTGAATCAAAAGCTTTATAGATTTGTTTGGCAGCATGCAGTCCTTTGTTAATGATGGCAGTGCATTTTTTGCATTCTGTATACATTTGTTTGGTTATGCTTTATTTTACAGTGCTGAGTTCATAATAATTTCTCTTGAAGTGTCATGCTAATATTTGCTCCTGCGCATTGTCAACATGTAAATTTTTTGCCAGGCATTTCCCTGCTGTTGCTGTTCTGATATGTAGATGCACAATAAATCAACCTTAATGGTAGACAGTACGTGGAAGTTGATTTTTGTTATTTTGACTCATCACTCATAAACTGTATATGTACACGTCACACATGAGCAAAGACACATTCATTCCTATGACAGTTTTCTCTGACATTTGAATTATAATGCATGAATTATATTTCTCAGAAGGTGAACAGTTTGTTGCACTCCGTTATACTGTACAGTATAAATCAGTGAAGTAACATAAATGTTCTCTGAACCGGATGTGCAATGAAAACACGCCACATGTCCAAAAAGTGTGTGTGTGTGTGTGTGTGTGTGAGAGAGAGAGCGTGCATTCCAGTTCATCCCAGAGGTGATGGATGGGGTTGAGTTCAGGGCTCTGTGCAAGTTCCTCCACACCAAACCTTTTCTATATGGAGCTGCTTTGTTAGTTTTATCTAAAACATGATTGTATATTGTAGTAAAGACAGGGGACTGCTATTGTATACAGTAGCCCTTTTTCATTAAACAGTTATTAGTCATTTCATCCAAGAGCTGTTCCAGTGGCTTGATCAGTCTCATCGGTCACTAGAACAAAGCCATGTAATGAGAGTGCAGGTGACTGGAGGTTTCATGGTGAAAGAAAATTTCAGCCCTAACTGCTGCTCACGTGTCACATCGTCATAATGTACAGCACACAGCGGAACAAACACTTGCTTTTCATTTATCTGAAGTGTGCCACTATAAATCTGCTGTACTTTGCAAATTGAATTATTGCGGCTCCAGTTTATCACGCAGCCCAATCCTCCAATGCATTCATCCCACACTACACCCGTTACAACATTAATATATACGAACAGTGGGATAAGGAACAAGCAAGTGTAGTGACCAAAATGAGATTCAAGTCACTCACGTCTTTTGAAAAATAATACAACAGAGAAAGGACGGAGAGAATAAAAGAAGAATGGGGATGACTGAAGGAGTAAAGGCACGGTTACAGTTGTGTTGCTGCTTATGAAAAATTTTACCAGCGTTGCTCATTTGAGAGATGCTGTGCCATGACCTAACTGCTGTTGATACACACACACACAGTAAAACAGGAATCATAACTCTGTTACGGTTGTTTCAATGTCGTTTCTGCTGACAAGGTCCCAACAGAAAATGGCCTCTCCTGGCTGGTTTATGGTATCCACTGCTGAGGAAATTGCTTTGCTTTATTATGCCATAACAGTAAATTTACATATATATAAGAAAGGTGGGAACAAACTGGTTTATTTCTGAGTATATTTTTGGTTGTAAAGTATATTTCAGATGTTATAGCCAGTCCAAGTGGATTTTGGCAGTCTAGGTCGGTCTGCAGGTCGATCAGTCCACCGCTTTGGTGCACACTGAAATACATTTATGAAACAAATATTGGATGGATTGCCATGACATTTAACAGACATTCATGATCCCCAGAAGATGAATCCTACCGAATTTCCTCTAGCTTAACCACGTGGTTTACATTTGTGATTTTAGGTCAAATGTCTCAAGATCTGTTGGATAGATTGCCATACAATTTGTGCAGTTTTACCAGCCATAGTATTATTCTGCGAAATAGTCCAACATCTACAAAATGGAATATTTTTGGACGGACGATCACGGTCCACAAAGAATGAATCCAAATGACTTTGGTGATCTACCTGAAAATACATAATCATCAGCCTCTGCTGCACTTTGTATTTAGTGCTCATTTGTAGATGTTAGCATGCTAACACACTAAACTAAGATTGTCAACATGGCAAACATTTTATGTGCTAAATATAAGCATGTAAACATTGTTATTGTGAGCATGTTAGCATGCTCACACTAGCATTTAGCTCAAAGCACCGCTGTGCCTAAAAACAGCCTCATGATGAAGTATTGATTATTCAATTTTGGCTATTATCAAATAGAGTTTCGAGAAATCCTTTAATCCATCCCAATAAGGCAAACAAAATCCTTTGTGGGGGCATTTCATTTTTAAATCTTTTTCTCAACACGCCTCTTATTTTGTATTTATAAGCAAAAACAATGAATTGTTTTTAACACATTATAATTTAGTGTCGAGTCGATAAGGAGATTTCTTTGTCTGGAATTGTTATATAATGTCAGCAACTATAACACCTCCCATGATTCATCAGTAACCAATGTATAAACAGTTCATTAGTGATTGTCAGTAGAAGATTTTTTTTTTGTTAAGATATATCGTTCTAATTCCAAGGTCAGGAATGAAACCTCCAAGCTCAACACGTCTTCATGAGTCTCAAACACGTTTCTAAATAGTTCTAAACACGGCTGTGAATGATCTGTCCATGTATATAAACAATAAATGTTAATTATGGATTTGTTCATATGTCATTATATAGCTATGATTTATCAATTCATTATCTGTTTTTTTATACAGCTATGCATTAATAAACACTTCCAAATGTCCTTGTATCTTCTTACAACTACATTATAATGTGTAATAATAATAAATAATAATATAAATAATGTATTAATAGTTTATTCAGTGCTTAAAAATGCTAAATAGAAGGAGGTTTAAGGAGTTAGTTACCCATTAAGCCTTTGTTAAGTCAAATCTGTATCTGTATATGACACAGCAGAAGTGGATTTCCGCAGAGCCAGTACAGCAAAGCCAAATAGCAGCAGGTGAAGTCCTGATTGGTAATTACCAAACACACACTACTGAACATCAATTTTAAAGGAACATGCAAGAAATTCAAAATATCAAGCCCTCCCGGAACATTAGTGCTTTTGTTTGATCTGCGCTCCGTCAGGAGGCTGCACCCGGGTGCTGTTGAGCTGAGTGGACTTCTGATAGGCGGTGTCACTCCTACGCGCTGCGAGACGCTCAATCGAGCAGTGCAGATGGCGTGTTGCGAGCTGTGTTTGCCAACAGTTGTTGTTTTAGAGATACTATATACCCCTAATTCCGTCTTAGCTTAAGAGTATTTCACGTGCTCTACTCACTTCTTTAGGAAAGAACGAAAATAATCACAAGCTGTACCATTGTGTTTTGTATTTACCACACAAATAGGAAATGATAATGTTGTGTAAAGACTAACAAAACCAAACAGCGAGGCCAGAAATCACTGAGCAAAACACTGTTGACAATAAAGCCATGTAATTATTGTGAACTGAAAGAAAATATGCAGAGTCACAGTATGTACATTTCATTTCATGGAGAATTAAGAAATCTGAACATGAGATGTCTACAGAAATGAGTCTGCACTCAGTCCCCAATACAACATGCAGTATGAAAGGAAAAAAAGGCCATGTGAACTATTTGTATTGAATACGTGCTTCACAAAATCAATAAAATATTGTGACAGTGCTGACAACACAATGACAAAATAGTGAAATAGTGTAAACAGATCAGATATTGTTTACTGTAAAAGCCTTTTTCTACTGTCATGTGACACATACATTGCTGTTGGGTTTATGGCATGCTTTTTGAATACTGAAAAGCAATAGCAAATGGGTAATTCTTAATGTTAAAGAAGAACAGATATTTTGGGAAATACTCATTCTGTCTTGTCGAGAGCTAGATGAAAAAATTGGGACCACTCTTACGTCTGTATGCTCAATCTAAAGATACAGGCAGCAGCCAGTCGAGCTAGCTTAGCGCAAAGACAGGAAACAGCTAGCTAATTCTGTCCGAACAACAAACAAAACAAACGTCCTTAATCCAGACACACACACACACACAAATGCGAAAACAGCAAGTTGTGGAAATGTCTGTGTCCGGCAGAAATAGTTACAGCATGTAAAAGTGTCAATTTTCCATGTCTATTCATGTATGGATTAAACAAATGGGATTAAATGTGTTAATTAGTGAGCGTTAGATGTGCTGGTAGGAGGGTCATTTTCACCTGGACATAGCCTGGTTAGCTGTTTCCAGTCTTTATGCTAGGCTAAGATAACTGACTTAGTGGTATTGATCTTCTCATCTAAATCTCAGCAAGAAAGTAAATAAGCATACTTCCCAAAAGGCCCAAACAAATTCCTTGAAATTATGGCAGTGAATGACAGAATGACATCTTTATATAATGCTGGCATGGATTCCATTAGTCTCTCTCTTGCTAATAACTCGACTTGAATGCACATTAAAGTAATAGTTTGAGATTTTAGGAAATAGCTGTTAAGCTTAGCTAACTGGCTGCTGGCTATAGCCTCAACATTTAGCGTACATACATGAGAGTGGGATCAGTCCTCTCATCTAACTCATGGCAAGAAAGCTAATATGTTTATATCCCAACAGACTGAAACATTCCTTTAAGTTGGTTTCATTGCATATAATGTCCAGATCAGAGCTTGGCCTGTGTTTATATGAGCATATTTGTTCATATTTGTCTTTGTCAGCTGTTTTGTCATTAGCAATAAGTTGTATTACAGTGACCACATCTTATACTGAAATTCTGGGTACAGTTTTAATAACTGACCTAAAGCAGTGTACTGTAAACACAGCAAAGAGTCAGTAGCTCTACCCTTGAGATACAGTGTCCCAGGTCTTCACAGGGGTCAGAGCAGAGAGTAATTTACAGTCCACACAAGTCTTTGTAAAATACATGTTCTGTAGATAATCCCTTGTGTCTGTGCATATAACAGATGCACACTGTCTGAGTGATAGTTTTGTCATCAAAGTCTGCACTTGCTATGATAAAAAAAAAGTTCATGAGGATTTGACCATAATATGTTCCTTTCACAACAAAGTCTTCTCTCATTCGAAAATCAAAAATGAGACAGAGGTGGGTTTAAAAAACATCAGCGCATTAATTGACGTAGTAAAGCCAGTAGATTAAGTTGAATAGAGAGAAGCTGAATGGGAATATTATCCGTGACAATCTGTCAATAGCGTTCACATCAGTGAGGTCTGGGATTTTGATTTTGAGCTGTGAGGATCGTCTCCGCAGACGGGTTTTCTTAAGGTGTGCGCTCCTGTCCAGGCTGAGGCGGCCCGACTCGCGCGGCCCGCTCGCCTTCCTATACTGGATGCCCGAGTTGTCGAACACCATGGAGGTGGAGTTGAGGGTCTCGCTCACAGTGGTTGTGATCTCGTTTCCTCCCACCTCGTTGTGGATCTCCAAGGTTGTCAGCAAAATGTTCCCCTGGGAGTCCACCTAGGCACAACAGACAGGAGCGGTGTTAAAAACGGGCTGTGAGCTGAGGCTTCATTGACTGATGACACATGTGCAGCATGCGTCAGGCCCCGGGGCCGGCGTCTTCTAGCAGGCTGACAGATTGCAGCCTGGGAAACAGAGAGCCGGCCTTCAAAACCAGGTTTCCTGTCCCAAAGTTAAATCACTTCAAACAAATCAGCTCAAGGTTGTACGGGATTGCTCTAATACTAATGTCATGACAGCTATTGCTTCCCACACAAAGACATATAAATCATTCAGACCTATGTGGCAAAAATAGAAGCACAGGATGTATACAGCAATATAACAATGTGGTTACAAGACGTGAGAGGGGGTGACACAGTGATGTTTATCTTCTTACTCTGTCAATGTCAGTGCAAACTAATGACAGAAACCAGTCTATAAAATATGAACACTTTGAGATGCACCACTGACCTGCCTGATCATGTGTATGATGTCAAAACTTGCGCAAGTTCATTCTTATTCACTGATTATTTGCAGAGCCTACACATCATTGGACACAAAACTTATAAACAGTATTCTATCACATACTTTTTAACAGAGATAGACAACTTCCTATACCAGGTAAAATCCTCACCACAATTTTCGACTTGAATCCATAAAGCTGTCCATGAAGTGTTCAGCTTTGGAAATGGTCGCAACAAGTAACACTGAGTTAAACTGAAATACACTCCCTCATTACGCTTATGGAAAAAACAATGCTTCACTATATAGTGATGTATTGATGTTATAGCATGCTATATATCCCATCTCTCTAATAAAGGCAGGAATCTTAGGAATCTATGAGTGAGTCTGTGTTTGAACATCACTCGTGGTGGGTGTGTTGCTGTGGACCCAAGGCTGTGCAGTGTCGCATTTGGTTCAATCTGGACTCACGACCCGTTCGGAATTATTAAAATTTGAATAAACCACAGCAAGAGGGAGGAACACTCACAGGGCCGGGCTTATATGCTCCGATGTGGTAGTGTATTGTTGAAAACGGAGTGATTGTCATCACGCAGGTTTGATATACGTTAGTACCGAATGTGTTGAAACAGAGTTGTAAGAATGTAATGTTCTAAGGACGCGCTGAATATCTGGCCTATACCTATTTTGTCGTTTTGTTTCAGTGTTACTAATGCTGTGGGTGAAACCAACGTGAGACGCACATTCTGATCTAAAAAGCGCAGGGAGGTGTCACATTGGCCCCTGTGAACGGGCACTGCACTAGTTTATTTAAATATGGAACTTTTGTTATCATTGAGACACCTGCAACAGGAATATGACCTTCCTTTCCCCCACAGATTAAGATATTTTCACGTAAGACAGTTGATTTTTATTCTAAATAATGGGGAAGATATTCATATATTTATGTATATACATTTATTAAAATACATACATTCTCTGAGCAATGCTTGGGGTTTAATAGCAACACTGCTGCCAAATAAAAACGGAGAGAAGATGCTTTTTTCCCCTGTGACCTTCAAACAGGCATAAATATTTTATCCCAGTGCATACATCATGACACATCGCCAAATCCTTGACTTTGTTTATCAAATACTAATAGACATACTAGTTGTGTATGTTGTATGATGTAATAAAGACAAAACAAAGATTAAAATCCTTCCTTATGGAGTGGTTTGTTTGCCTTTTCTGTACATGATGTTAGGGCCACAAACACATAGAGACAATACAAAGGTAAATACCACAGAGGAAGAGGGAATGTAAAGAGGAATATATATACTTGCACAGTATGTGATGGTGATTGTGACAGAAATGGCTTGTTGAGATTAAGCATGTTGTTTTGTTAAATGAGGAGGTCAAACTTTGCCCTGCAGCAGCAAAGTTTCAGTGGAAGTTTCACAGATGTGACACAACAGGCAGTGACAGACACTCACCCCTCGTGAGTGACGGCGCCCTTGTACCTGATTGGACTGTTTAACAGACGAAGACTTGCAATTGCTTCCTTCCAGAATGGACTAGCCAGGAGAAACACAAACAGAAACCTGTTTTGTCTGAGCTTTGGTCAGGTGTTAGCTGAGCTCCACAATCAGGAGGCAGAGAATCACAGCTGGCACAAACGTCTCACAAAGGACTATGGGAGAATCAAGTTGTTCGACTGTATGGACCCGACAAGTTCAGTGTCAAGTTGAAATAATTTGATCAAAGGGAGATTTCATTTTTACCAAAATGCACATGATATGTGATGAAAATAAATAAAAATCTGTAATCCAACCATCATTTTCCTTTCCATGTTTAAAAATACAGAGGCTAATTTTCTTATGACTGAATGATTGCAATATACTATTTGAAGCTGAGGACAAAAATTAAATATCATTATATATAATTATACTATTGATATGGACATGTATTCCATGGCTTTAAAGAATTGCTTGACTGCAGCAGAAAAGGTTGACTTTGCATTGCTGTCATCCACAGTGACTTATGACCACTGGGGGAGCACAACACTGAGAATAAAGATTTGCTTAGTTAGTGCAGTTAGTTAAAATGTTGCTTACAGCTCTTAAAACACAGTGGCCCACTGAACCTGCGAAATGACAAGTGTGACTTGATTCTCTGGTGTTTGGGAATGATTCTCACCTTGGGTCTATCAAATTTTTCCCGGTCATTTGCCTTCTGTGCCTTCTCAGCAAGCTTCTTCTGCATCTGAGGACCTCTTCCAAAGAAGATGTAGTTGACGAAGGCATATTCCAGCAGAGCCAGGAAGACAAACACAAAGCAGCCCATCAGGTACATGTCTATAGCTTTGACGTAGGGGATCTTGGGCAGAGTCTCTCTTAAATGGGTGTTGATGGTTGTCATGGTCAGGACAGTGGTGATCCCTGGAAGAAAAAAAAGAAATACCTGAATTGGAATCACCATGTTGCTCATTTAAAACAATACAACTGGCCTGAAACTGCATGGTCATGAAAAAGAAGTGAAGTGACGCTGAATTTCAGCACAAACTTGATGTTAAAGCATAAGACAATTATTCAGTGACAGTTTTCTAAAACACACAGGACCAGGAGCTGGTTAGATCTATTACCGAATGTCTTAACTTACTTATGTCACTGTTGCCAACACATTTTCAGGGAAAGTTGCTATTATTTTTATTGTTAAATATAAACCCAATGCATTTTTACATCATATTTTATATTTTATGTAGTAAAACCTATGATGAAACCACACATGAACAGACACATTAAAGTTGCCTGTTCAATATAGCTTAATGCTAACTAGGTAGTGCTGACTGTATCTGGCTATTGAGCTGAGCCGTCGCTAATGCTGACGTCACTCACAATGCACTTTTGTAGCAGGGCAGAAAGATCGCGTGTTTTGACTGAGTGTGTGACAGAGAAAATAATTTTTGTGTCATTTAGATGGGAAATGTGTGCGTTTTAAGAATTACAGTAGCTCATAAAAGTAGCTAAATTTGCTGCTAGGTGTCTTTTAAAAGATAAAGTTGCCCGGTCAGTCTGAAAGGTTGCTAAATCTAGCAACAAAAGTGCTTGGCATCAATGTCAGTATCTTTTGTTGATGAAAAATGTGGTTTAAGATGACTGACAGAATAGCCTTTTCAATGTCTAGAATTGAGTTATTATTTCAGACATATATAATTTAGTTCTGTCATGTAATCTATTGTTGTGTTACTAATCTCAGTATAACAGCCTGTGCTTTATCAGTGCAATGACTTTTCTTACCTTTTAATGGACAAAGAATTATGTTGTTAGCCTTGTTACTGGTGTTTGAGTGAATGTGTGTAAATGTCACTGACTCATACTTACATACATAATATTCAAGAACAACCTGGTTGATGCCTGACTTCCCATATTGAAAAACACACACTGTATTCCTTCACTTTTAGATTCCCCTTTATGCACAAAATCAGTCACACAAAAGGTTATGGGTACTTTATGATGTCCAACAAATACTGTACATGGTTGTTGCTGTTACCGATGTATAAAGACAGACGGATATGGCGCTACAAGTGAATTGTTCAGATGAAAGTTCCTGGGTGCATCTTCTTGGAAAGTTTGATTTAACTTGGCTTTGATAGGCAGAAACTGCTCCCCTATATAGTTTACTGCTCATGTAGCATACAACGAGTGAACAGACTCAGCAAATACACAATAAACAGCAGTGTAGTAATTCTCTCGATAATGTGCACCATCAACAATAAATTTGTCTGTGTTGTTTTTGTATGTCCTGGATTGCTCACCAATCTGGACGGTGTGTCTATTTCTGTCGACTCAGGCTTACATAATTAAACCAAAAATGTTGCACTGTACAGTACTGCATGTGTGGGGGTGTCAAGAGCATTGTGGGCTTATGGCATCGATTGCATTTTGCAGAACAAAGGGAAGAGCTAGAATCTAAACTCTGAACTTAGAGGAGAGCGTTACTCAACAGATCACTGAAATATTTTCAGTACTGCAGAGTTTACTGTTGTCTTTGACATTACATCAGTAAAAACTAGACAGATTAAGAAATGATAATCACAGATGACATCTTGTAGATGATTTCTTACTGCTAAACCCCTCCCCCAAACAGCGATTGTCCAATTATAGCCATAACTAAGCACAGTAGCTTTGTCAAGCTTTAGATTTTATTTTGCTTGTTAAAGGAATGTGCATGGGGCTGGACCAGTGGCAACCCCCGGGTCTGAAAAGTAAAGCCAATGCTGAAGTGCCTTAAACCTGCATTCTTTCTAATGACCAGACTTTAATACAATCTAAGGGGCTGGAGTAAGAGTGATATTTGGCTTTTAAAGGGTTTGGCTAGTGGTATTGTTTACAACGGCAAAGTTTAAAGATAAACAGTGCCTATCAGCTGTAATGTAGTGTACACTGCAATCCATAGCATGTCCAGCTAAATAGATTACTACCTACAGAGTATTACTTTGAAGGCCAAGGAGGACATCACGGTTATAGGTTACGTTAAAAAAGTCCCTTGCACATACATATCAAGACTGCCAATATCAAGTCTCAATACACTGTATTATTTCGCCACTGTGTAGAAGCTAATACGGCATGCTATTTGCACGATATCAGACAGAATTGTCTACTTGTTACACTGACGTGTGGCAGGGGGGTTCGATTTTCTTCTAACTAATCATATCCGCATGAATCTAACATCATTTTAAGTCAACACTAGGGCTGGAACGATTTATCGATTAAATCGATAAAATCGATTAATCGATTAAATCGATAAAATCGATTAATAAATTGCTTCGACACAAATTCTTTGCATCGATGCTTCGTTTAATCCATGTAACTATACAGCACAGTGTTTCGCACGGACATTTATTACTGTCACACATCGCGTTTACGCTGTGAACACGACAGGATTATAATGTAGCCGTTTGCAAAGTGGAGGAAGAGAGAGAAAATGGCGAGGGACAAAGAAGAAAGTGTCCAAAGCATGTTATTATTTCATGCTAAACAAAACAACAACTCTCTCTGTGTCACAGTCTGTCCACCATAAAACGAAACTTATGTCGCCTTGGCAACACCACGACGGCAGCTGAACAAAAAGGTGTTCTGCCAGCGGACCACAGACAAGGTAACAGTAACAGCAACTTTAGCAATTAACTGAAATCCTGATTGATTGTTGAGTTGAAGGCTAGCCAAAGTAAGCAGCAGTCCTCAGCTGAAAATGTGAACAAGTGCGTTTGTTGTTCTCCTTATAGGGCCGTGAGTTGTGACTTCACAGTCAGGAGTTAACTGCGTGTCGGGGAGCTGCACCTTTTAACTCCCCTCCCTCTCTCTGTAGCTCAGACAATCCCTACTATCTGCATGTGCTAATCCATCCTTCACCCATATTCTTTGTCTGTATAACAAACAACAGCTGTTTCGTGTGCAGGATCGCTTCATTTCCATTATCACATTTCACCTGTGTTTTCTTGACAAAACATGGTTTGGAGACCAGCTTCGGGTGACACAGCTGCTGTCAGCTCCTGTAGTGGGTGTGTGTCCCTGTCACCGATCAGTCACGTAGTGTGAACACCACACGACTTAAAGACTGCCGTGATGACGGCAGGTTGTGTAAACTGCACGGCCATCGGCCGATGCTTAAAGTTGTGTAGGCTGCACGATCCTTTAGTATAACTTGGTGATGTGTTAGATAACTAAGGGTGATGTGTGTGTTTGTAAAGCGGCTGTCAAGTAGTTGGTCTGATGTTTGCTGTATGACACAGTATGAATTTACGAAAGGACTAATAAATATCTATCACCTATAAACGTGCACAGCTGATCCCGGTTGCCCCGGCCTTTCTGTGTGGAGTTTGCATGTTCTCCCCGTGTCTGCGTGGCTTCTCTCCGGGTGCTCCAGCTTCCTCCCACTGTCCAAAGGCATGCGGCCTCGGTTGATTGGTGACCCCAAATTGTCCTTAGGTGTGAGTGTGGCTGGTTGTTTGTCTGTGTGGCCCTGCAATGGATTGGCGACTTGTCCTGGGTGTAATCGTCATTATTTAGAAAAATAGCTTCCCTATGTTCCACTGCTCTTGAAGGCTGATTGGTACCCCTGCAAATTTAGTTTTCCTTGGGATACTCATACCACCATAATGGTAGAATGAATAGAAATCTACAGTGAATCATCACATAGAAAAGTAATTGAATTTGGATAATACAGTAATGCTTTCTAACTTCCTCAGACAGTGGTCTTGAGGAGGTGTTAGCCCTGAACAGGTCTGACCCTGCGGAGGTGCCACCAAATCTAGCTGCTCTCCAGGCCCCTCAAAATGTGCTACATTCATCTTAAAATCACAGTGACTACACAAAGCAGAAATTTAATGAATGCTGCAATGACGTGCTCTTTCTTACACATTCAGTGCTTTGTGTGCATAGATGCTAGCTGAGGATTTCCATTAAGGCAAATATAGCCCAACACTGTAGTTTGTACTTTGCTCCACTGTAAAAACCCCATCAATGCAGTTATAGATGGTAGGGTGTTTTCCAGCCTCGTATTCATTTCCGTCCCAGAGGCCAGTGGAAAGTGTGAGTCTTAGATCCAGTTCTGTCTCCTATTACACCACAGAGCAGCAGCCCTAAGCAGACTGAAAGGAACACACAGCCACGATAAAAAGTTCATTCAGAATTTTGAATGCCGCGTGTGGTGCTGGCTGAAGAGCTGCAACACAACATATTATCACTTTGTTAAGTTATTGTGGCAAAACTGTTGCTTATTTATACATCCAGCAGACACCGAGCAACACTAGCATTCATTTTGAGTTGCGTTTCTGACCCCCTTGATGTATAAAAGTCCAATATCCACTCTCCTTTAGTTCTGTTTTGGTCTCTAGCTGGTCGCAAACTGTGTCTGTCTGCTGTCTGGTGCTGAGAAGGTAGTGTACAGTGGGTATACAGCATGCAGGTAACAGCTGCTTTCTGTAGGTTGATGAGAGTGAACTAAACATAAAGTTGCAGGCCAAAACCAAAACTTAGTCAACATTCCCGAATATACCAAATTGGAAAGGTCAGATCCCGTGCTGATGTCCTCTGCTAGCCAACGTCCGACCTGTAATCGTCTAAGGTCACAGTACGGTAATTAAATGAACTTGATCTCTCAACAAACTCTTCATCTACTACAGCGTCTCTGAGGGGGAAGACAGGACATCAATCATAAATATATCTCACATAACAACACAGTCACATCTTCTGCCATGTAGCCGTTCATTCAGAACATCCCCATTACCTCCCACTTGCATGCCATCTCCTTCTTTTCTTTCTACCTTCAGTTTTTAATCTGTCTATTACTACCTGTGTGAGTGTGATGGTGTGCAATGATAGTAAAGTCTAGGCAAATTGCTGGTTTGAGTGTTTAGGAAAGAGGAAAGTGGGCACACTTTGGACTTGGTAATCTCCAAGGGTCTGAACATTTCCAAGGTTGTGGTGACTGATGTTGCTCTCTCTGATCATTCCTGTGTTTTCTTTGAGAGTTATATCTGCGTGCACAAAAATGTACAAACAGAGGTAATATCGGCATATCACTGAAAACACTAGTGAAAAATGTATTGAGGCTTTCTCCCCAGCTCCTGCCCTCCCATGGGTCTCAGACAATGAGCTTGTAGATAATTTCAATTCTAAAATTACAAATGTTATTGATGCCATTGCACCAGCCAAGGTGAAGGTGGTCTCTGGTAAGAGAAATGCCACGCTGGTTAGAACTCAAAAATGAGAGTGTAGAAAAGATGAACGCAGGTGGCGGAAAACAAATCTCCAGGTTCATTATGACATCTATAAAGAGAGACTTCGCATTTATAATTTAGAACTGAGAAATGCAAGGCGGTCTTCTTCTCTGACGTCATCACCAAAAACACTAATAATTCACGTGCCTTGTTTGCTACTGTCGACAGGCTAACCAACCCTCCTGTAGACTCTGAACTTCTATCCACCAGGGCCTGCTATGAATTTGCTTCATTCTTCACAGACAAAATTCAAACAATTAGACAAACAATCAGTGCCTCCATATCAATAACAGGATATGTCTTGTCCCTGTGTCCACTTAAAAAACAATGCATATAGCATGAGACAATTTGATTCTATTAACCATAAAAACCTGGAGAACATACTAAAACATCTGAAATCTTCATCATGCTGCCTTGATATTCTGCCAACAGGGTTTTTCAAAAATGTTTCTAAATGCATGGACTCAGATCTACTACAAATTGTCACAAGCCCTGAAAACTGCAGTCATTAAGCCACTCTTAAAAAAGAGCAATCTAAACAGGTCACTAATGAGCAATAGTAGGCCCATATCAAATCTCCCATTTTTAAGTAAAATCATTGAAAAGGCTGTTTTTCAACAGCTTAGTGCTTTCTTGGCACTAAATAACTGTTTTGATGTCTTCCAATCAGGATTTCGACCACACCACAGCCCTGAGACAGCTCTAGTTAAGGTCTTCAATGTCATCCATTTAAACATTGGCAGAATTTCAGTCTTAGTATTATTGGATCTCAGTGCTGCATTCGACACGGTTGATCACAACATATTACTAGACAGACTTGAAAATTGGGTTGGACTTTCTGGCACAGTACTAAACTGGTTTTAATCCTACTTAAAAGACAGGGACTACTTTGTGTCTATAGGTAATCACACATCTGAACTAACAAAAATGACGTGGAGTTCCCCAAGGCTCCATTCTGGGGCCTCTTTTGTTTAACATTTACATACTTCCACTGGCTCAGATTATGAAATACAACAAAATATGTTACCATAATTATGCAGATGACACACAGATTTACATAACGATATCACCAGGGGACTATGATCCCATACAAGCACTGAGTAACTGTATTGAGCAGGTCAACGATTGGATGTGCCAGAATTTTCTTCAATAAAACAAGGATAAAACTGAAGTTATTGTTTTTGGAGCCAAGGAAGAACAATTGAAAGTCAGTGCTCAGCTTCAATCTGTAACGTTAAGAACCACAAATCAAGCCAGACATCTTGGTGTAGTCATGGACTCAGACCTGAATTTGAGGAGCCACATTAAGACAATTACAAAGTCAGCCTACTATCACCTGAAGAATATATCAAGGATTAAAGGACTTATGTCTCAGCAAGACCTGGAAAAGCCTATCTATGCATTTATCTTCAGTCGACTCGACTGTTGTAACGGTGTCTTTACAGGGCTCCCTAAGAAATCCATCAGACAGCTGCAGCTGATTCAGAACGCTGCTGCCCGAGTCCTCACTAAGACCAAAAAGGTGGATCACATCACTCCAGTTCTGAGGTCTTTACATTGGCTTCCTGTATGTCAAATAATTTATTTCAAAATCCTGCTGTTAGTTTATAAAGCACTAAATGGTTTAGGGCCAAAATACATTTCTGATCTTCTGCTTCGTTATGAACCATCCAGACCTCTCAGGTCGTCTGGGACAGGTCTGCTTTCTGTCCTCAGAGTCAAAACTAAACAAGGAGAAGCAGTGTAGCTACACACACACACACTACAGGAGCAGACTAGCTAGAGAGAGTAGATTAAGTGTACTTCTCTGTTTATTCTCTTTTCAAAATAATTGAAACTCAATTATTTGCTCAACCCCTCAGCCTGTTTTTATTTTCCATTTAACTCTTTTAACCCTGATTGTACACTGCACTGTAACTTTTACTGTCCTGTTTTACCCTGTTTTAATGTGTATTGTTTTTTGTAAGAAATATTGTGATTTGGCTTAATTGTGGTCTCAAGTCACTGCAGACGTTTTCTATATTAAAACAGAACACGATGTTTCTCTGACCATAGCCTGCTCAGGGATTTAAATATAGGCTATAACAATGTAATTACCTCTCAAATATGCTTGAAAATGTACTGTGAAATAATCTGTGTCTGTGAAATAATTTGCCATTGATAATTGATAAATTCTATAAATACAAGTGATCATCCATTCATTACTGCTTAGGCTTATGATTGTGTTGATTTGTTAATGTAGGCTGGCTAAATCGGATGTTTGATAGTTAGAGAAATCAGTGTAACAACAGGAACACAATATAGACTGCTTCAGGCTAAATGATGCGCTGCACTGAGGCCATCTTGCAACAATGAGGCAATGGATAGTTTTGTACTTTTCAAGGAAAACGAGAAAATTGACCCAATTTTGCATTTTGGAGTAATGGAAACTGGATTTTGTGTGTTTGAGTCACTATATGAAAATTTGTAATAAGGACAGAACACATTCAGTGGAAAATGTCTCTATTTCCATTTAAACATTGCTAATTAGAAATGCTCAGTTTTTCATTTCCAGATGTTCATTTCAGAAGGAAACCAACTGAGACGAAGGTACACAGATCGTTCAGGATAGTAACACGCACTGACATTTGATAACTCACAACTGTTTAGCATAATTTGCAGGTTGACTTTCTTGAGTTCTCTCTAACGTTTATACTATATTTGCATTGTAGTTTATAGACACCAGTGAAATGTCATACAATAATAATTTTTACAAATTAATATAGTGAATTTGTCTCAAGAAAACAGTTTCAACTTGGGGGAATTATTACAGGCTGGTTATGTTAAAATCTAGTGATCTGCCGGTTACAGTAAATCAAAACATTTTCACAATACAACAATTTTAACAAACAGATTCAAAAACTAAAACTACAATTGAATTTCATGAGCTCAACAGAGATATACAATATGATCAAGTTCAGTGTTGTTTGATGGTATGTACATGTGAGACTCCTGGTTCCATCATGTGTGAAAGTTAGTAGGAAAAATACAAACAGACAATAACTAAAACTCGTCTAATGAAAAGATCCAGCTCACTCTGTTTAGATGAATAAAAATTTAATGGCTTTTTACTTTTTGCTCATTTCAACGTCATATGTCAGGTTATTCAACACTGTTGCCATACCCTCTCCAAAAAGCACTTTGTATAATTTGGTGAAAAGTTACTATGTTGCATAACACTGTACCTAACGCTGAATCAGAAGCATCATGTCATATGAGTTTTTTTCTGTATTTCTGAACCTGAGTGTGACTTGATTCCCAAACAATTCCAAATTCGTTCTGTGGGCCCTGCGGGGTCTCCACTTTGATGATATCACGGTATAAAGTCTTCTGTCTGTTTCTAGCTTTGGGACAGAGGCGGTCGCTGTGAAAAAGCCTGCAGGCCCAAACTGTGAAACACAAAAGACATCTCACTGAAAGTAAAACTACGAAGTTGAGGTTAATCTATTGCACGGGACACATCATACCTAATGCGACCCTGGCAGCTGAGGCATCATAGTTTATCCAGAACGACACCCAGGATAGGATGGTGATGAGGATGGAGGGCATGTACGTCTGCAGGATGAAGTATCCAATGTTTCTCTTCAGCTTAAAGCTCAGAGACAGTCGTGGGTAGGCACCTGCAGGAAGCAGTAAAGAAGAAAAGGATTGTCTAGCACTTTGTTTTGGTTCCTACTGCGATGGCCTCATGAACTGGTTTCATCACCAGGAAACAAGAAATCGCGGTTCAAATCGCATATCGTCATATCCCAATGCAGAGCAAAGTTTTAAAACATCCGTTTACACACACACACACACACACACACACACACAGAGTGTTAAAGCAAGAGTTTGACACTTTCGGGAAATTTGCTTATTGGCTTTCTTGTCGACAGTCAGACGACAAGACTGATAGCATGCTCCCCCCTGTACGATAAATATGAAGCTACATCTAACAGCCGATTACACACAAACACAATCTTCTGCCAAAGTTAGAACACTTTCACATATTTCACACGAAACATTTCTGTATTTACATTTTCTCTTTTCAATGTGATGTCACGTGTACTTCTGTTCACCAACTTTCAGGGACTTTTGAATTAAAATCTGTTGACAGCTGTTGGGTTGTTTGGCTATTTCAATCAAATATGATCAAATCACACCCACACAGTCCTGATGAAGCAGATTAGCTGGGTTTTTTGAGCGTTAATCTCTTTATAAATAATACCTAAACATGTTTTATTTTTATTATTATTGTTATGAAGAAATATACATGATTTTAGGTTATCTAGCTAGTTTAAAGGCCTGAAATTGAACATGAACACTGGTGTCTGATGTAAAACATACATTACTTAGCATGTGGACAGCATTATTGCGATCTCACCTGTGGAAAAGACCACGTTTCTGGAAACCAGCTTATAGTCGACAATGGAGAACTGAGGGAGCTCGATGCGCCTCACCCCCGTCACAGCGGTGTCTCCTCCTTTCCAATAGAACTCAATGTCATCTGTTGTATAACCATCTGCAAACAGGGAGAGAGGAAACCAGTGATTCTTATGAGTTGAAAAGCACTAAAAAGTGCAGCCGTCTCATTTTGTTGGAGGGCTAAAATTAATATTGTATTTTTATTTGCTTAAGTGAAATCTGGAGGCCTAATAGCTATAGTTGATTTACGGTAAGTCCTGTAAATCACACAGACTCGGCTGGCTGTAAGTGCTGATTGCATGAGATGTAAATCTTCGAGGAGATGTGTGTCACTATAGGCAGACAGACTTATACCACATGCATGGAATCTATAACTTAATAGTTTTATGGCAGACAGTCAAACAAGTCATCAAGAGCGATGACGTTGGACTCATTACTGTGCTCTACTATGGAAATCACTGTCTGGTTGAAATCTTTCTAAATAGACACAGTAGCTCTAACTGGAGAGGGTGAGGCAAGCAATACAACAGCTTAATAAATCGAAAGCAATTCAGCAGTTTGTGCAGTTTCTGTTTCCATGAGATGAGAAGTGTGAGAGCTTTTTTTTTAAATGAAAATCAGAGTGGTGTTCATATTTTTAAGGGATGAAAAAGTGTTTTCTTAAAGAGTTAAGATGAGGGCTTCAACTTACAACTCTCAATTTCCAGAGTGCAGTTCTGTTCATCCAGTGGGTATCTCCTCAGATCCATCATGCAGGCTGCAGTCGTCGTGATTCTGAATCAAAACAAAAGCAAAACAGAAGCACATATTACTTTTTTTACATGGCGTTGTTCATTAATGAAAATGCATTATCAAAGCATAATGTCAAGAAGAAGTAGATACAATAGAAAATGTATAAAGATGTGTTCCCTTACAGTACAGTGTACAAGATAAGATAAAACTAGTTTTGAATAGACCAAATGATTACAGCAAGAAACAAACATAATATTCATTATTATTTGGTTAAAACTGACTCCAGGTTAGTTCCTGCTGATGGCACTTTCAGTGCTGCATTGTTATATTGAGAATCTAAATAGAGACGCACTGTATTCGCAAGTTGTGAGAATTGCAGCTTAAATGGCTTTAACAAAACAAATAAAACATCTAGCCAATTCATGCATCTTAGATAGACTGGAAAGCTGTGTGATAACATAGGAGTCAAGAGTAAATGCAACCAAAGAGCATAAGCGATGGATTGCTAGCCAATCGTTAAAACCACCACAGGAGGGGGTGTGAGATGTTAAAAATGTGTAAATACATCCGTTTCTCCAGGATGCACAGTGTATGTAATCTTTACTGCTCTTAATTAGGTCACTGGACTGTGTGAAGGCAGAGGAAAATCAAGACTGATGTAATTGGATTTCCTATCTGGCTAATGGAGATGCATATACAGTATGTGTTAAGAATTTATAAAAGGGTATCCTATCTTTTTCATTCTTTAAATAGGCTTTTAGCAGCTATCAGTGCTTAAATCTGTCTTGTCAAGTTGTTTTCTTGCATAATTCTCTACTGGAATGGGAATTAATGCAGTTTAGATTAGTGTTATACGGTATATTATCATATAATACTCGTAATTCAAATAAAAATTAACCTTGGCCGTGGCTAGCATGAATTTCCACAGCATTACCCCATCAGTACAACAACAGAGTCATGTTAAACACACTACTTAATTATCATACATTTGGTTGTACGTGTGTATCTGTCCGTAGCTAATCTCGCATACTACTGGACCCATCAGCCTAATATTTTTTGAGCACATTTATGACTGTATGCTCAAGGACCTCTCATGGTCGCATTGCTTGATAAATTTTGAAAACCCTATTTTATTGACTGCTCTGTTTTATACCGTCATTGACTGCTGACTCCTCACTCCTTTCACTGGCCTTTAGGTAAGTACATTAGTTACATTAGTTAAATTACGTTAGGTACATAGGTATAGAAGGTAGAAGGTTTATTTGTCACTTTACAAAGTGAAGTGTAAAGTGAAATTAAGTTTCTAACTCCCTTCTGCTACGTAGCAGACAATATACAGTGATACAAAAGCAATCATTATATGGTTAACAGAAATAAACTATATTCAGTGCTGAGGATGAATTAGAATTTAAGAGTCCGATAGCTGGTCTGCAGTCTGGTTTTGCATCAAAAGAGAAACTTGTACGTATATCTCTTCCCAGAAGGCAGCAGGGTGAACAGGCTGTGGCTGGCTGGGTACTGTCCATTAGTATCCTTTTGGCGCTGAGTAGGCACCTCACCTCACCGATATCACTGATGTTCGGGAGATGGGTACCAATGATCTTCTGAGCAGTTTTAATCACCCGCTGCAGAGTGAGTTATGTAAGTTAATTTACATATGTAAGTCAAAATAAGCCAGTGTAGACTTTTGGTTTCACAAGGGACACAAACAGGGGTCTGCTGGGTGAAAGTCCAATGTTGGTTTGACACACCCATCCCATGGATGTACTACAGTTTTTGTCATTCGTTTTGGTACATTTCTCGAATCATCCTACACATTTGCAAAACAGTAAGTGCATTTCTCGAAACAGAACAAACAGCAATACACAGTTGTTTACCTGCAAATGCCCGTAACTTGCTCAAAATCCTTATTCTCCTTAGGACTGACTTATGCAATGAACTTATGCCTAGATGTTTTGGGGGGTAAGACCATTCAACAGAGAACCGGTATAATATATTGTGTTCAACATGACATAGGCAATTGATAATGTAGGAAACAGCAGACACTGTACATAATCATTTTCATCATGTGTCAAAGCATTTGCAATTTGTTCAAAAATAATAAGAAATTGCTTTTTATGATGTGCACAAGTGACGAGACAACGTGGGGGTTGAACAGTAGAATTTCAATTCTGATCTGAGAACTGTCCTAAAGTGACTTAAAAAAACTGTATTATAGCCCAACATCACTCAATGAAAAAGGAAATGGACATTACACTGAATTTATCAAGACAATGGGTAAACATGGAGGAGGTTTTGATTTTGCATTAACAGGGGGCAGTTAATGTAGTGAGGTAAATAAAGGTCCCAGCCATTAAATGAGAATCCATGGTAATGACTGTCCTCACCTGAGGCCGTAGAGAACAGTGCCGTCTGGGTGTAGTCGAATCATACGGTTCTTAACAGTGACGCCGTGAACAAAGGACTTCTTGTCATTGAGAAAGTAAGTGTCTGGGACCCAGAGCTGATCTGCTACTCTGTTGTCCAGTGTCAGGTTGAGAGGGATTCCTGCATAGGCCAGTCTCTTATCTCTCCAATACTGCTGGAAGTACATAGTCAACGTGTAGTCCTGTGGAGAGTGCAACGACAGTTATACTCAACAATAAAGAGGACTCAGAGAAATGCAATAATACTTTTTGGCAGATCCAGTATAAATAAAGTCATTTTTGTTTCAGACATTTGCAATTTCTTCAGACCAGTGTTGCCGACATTGTTCAAACTGAAGCCAGACTTTCTTACAAGGTTATCAGTTTCAACACTGAATGTCTGCAGCCCAGAGCTCGGGATGGATTTTTTTTTGCAACAAAGGTGATATTTATAGAATTGTCAAACAGCTCTGATTCTCATCAGTCTGCCCTGGGTGGCCATATTTCAAGACCTGTCGCAACGAGAAACCCTCAGCTGTTCTGTGCACAAAACTGGCACTAGCCCTCGGACTATAGATTTCCATTACTGCAGGCACAGCATCAACGCTAGGTTTCAGCTTAGTGACTGACCACTTTTACCAACATGCCAACACTGCATATCTCAGATAGATAGATAGATAGATAGATTTCATGAAGTATTACCAGCCATACATGCAAATGACACATGAGACTATTTCAAATATTTATTGGGAGTTCATTCGCATCTAGCTTGAAAAAGTGGATCCATCAAAACACAAAAGCTTTTCCAGGCCTTTAATGGAGCTCTTTACTAGCTCACTTGGCATTGTTCTGCTGACTAATGTTCTCTTAAATAAATAAGCAGGTCTCAAGAAATAAACAAAATCTTGGCCCGTGCTGAAAATGCCTACATTTCAATCCTCAGGTGCACTAACATATTGGTCAGATAGTGTTCAGAAATGATTTCCATTGGATATAAAAATCAATACCAGCATTTATTTTTTTCACACTGAGCTTATTATTTTGACAAAATAAAGAAATGCATTATTTTTTTGTGACCACAGTGGTTTACATTTTTATGTGTGTGTATGAGTGTAGTTATTCAAGAACATAATAATATATGGATTATAAATGTACACACAGTTACATTCACATAGTAACAAGGAATGACAAAAGAGAAATGGTGTGCATAACACAAAAAAACAATATATATTTCTTTTTGTTTTTCTTTTATTATTTCAACACACAAAGCAAAGGGGCAGCTGCATCGTGCTTGGCTGACAAAGTGTAGGCTTGTGTTGTGTTTGGGAAGAATTACATTAAGTGATTTGACTGACAGTATAATATAATATTGATTCATATGAATAATTCAGTGTGTATGTACATCCAGAAGATGTATTTATTCTCTTGCCTCTAGTTAATGAAACTGTGTGGGCTTTCATCCGTTTAATGTCTTTTTTGTTATATTTAGAGTATTTTGTACATTTGAATAGAGTTAATTTAAAAAAATGATGATAATTGTGATCACATTTTTCCTGAATCTACATCTGAAAACAAGGCCATAGACATTTTTTGAAGTTGTCAGAGTAGGTGTAGGGTCTGTAGTAGTTAATGTAATAATACAATATGTTTCCAGAAAATCCCTGGCTTGAGGCTGGGCTGTTTTATTTTTTGAGTCTCTTTAGAGATGCCCAATTCTCTCTCACCCTCTGTGAACAGAAGATGCCCTCATTATGCTCTCTCCCACACGCAGCCGAGGTGTGGGCTGGGTGAATCAGCTTTACACAACAGCTCTTACACTACAGCGATGACGCCCATCTACCAACCCTCTCACTCAACGTCTGGACTGCAACTATTTTAGTCTATTTTAGATCTTAAGATCCCACCTCAGCAGTTGTCCTTGACTGCCTTAAACATGGCTTTAGCATCTCAGAAACAAAGATATACTGGTCCCAGCCCCCTGTCTAACCTGCGGGGTACCACAGATAGGGCTGTACATAACAATTATTTTTCAAGTCGATTAATCTCACGACTAATTTTGTGTATTTTAAAGGGAAAAAAGTTGCCTGTTGTGATAATAACAATAACAGACATTAATCAGGCTACTTTACTTAAAACTTTAAATGTTTCTGACATGGATTAATTTCAATATTGAGTAATGCAGTATGATAATCAAATGTATTTCTGCATCAGTGTAGGGCAAAGAAAACAACTGAAACAATTCACAGACTGTACAGTTATTGTTGTCTATACTGTTAGATTCAGCTGTTTTCTCGCTCATTCGAGGTAGTTAAAGAAACAGAAAATATGAAACGGCCAAACGTTAGATACACATGCGGTGTAACGTTACATTACCATGACAGCAGCGGGGCAGAAATTACTTTTAACATGAAGGCGATAAAGAAATACTTAGAAAATACATTATTAATTTACATTTTAACAGACTACATGTCCTCGTGCTGATAACGTGCCGTCCTTGTGTAATGGTGCTGCCGTCAGTGCTCTTGGATACTTTCGCTTCACATGTTCATGCTGCTTCACATATTCGTGGAAAGCAGTTGGGCCACAGTGAAGCTCACGGGGCGAGCACCACGTTGTTGAGTGTCTGTCTAAAATACTCCCAAACTCCCAAACAGTCGGAAGGCATTGTCTTGTAGATGGAGCTTGTCCGGGGGAATCCAATGCATTCTCAGGAATCCCACTAACACCTGATACAGCGACACTTAGACGCACATATTAAGGGTCGACCTATTTACGTTATCGATTATGTCGACTATGTCGACGAATCGCCCCAGCCCTGACCACAGAGCTCCATACCAGGGCGAGGCACAGATGAATTTTAGTCTGTGTGCAGGTAGAGATTCTCTGGCAGCCACACATGAGGTCAGTGTCCAGTGAAAGGTGTTGGCTGCTTAAAAAGTCACTCAAGTGCTGGATTATGTCATACACTAATTCTTAAAATTTGTGATAATATTTGCAACATGTTTTGTGAGCGAAAATAGCTCATCACCATCATCAGACCTGGCTTTCCATAAAGCTGCAAATCTAAAATCAAGTTTCCCTTATACAACATTTTACTACTGTTTAAATTGTTTTTGGATTGTTTTAGATAAAGGCTTTTACACTCTTTGTTCACATGCTCTGTAAAGCTCTTTGTCACTCTGATTGTTTCTACTGACGACATGTGTGGCTTTGCATAGGTTAGGCCTACACCTTGAAAAGGTTTGGTTGCTTCAACACCACAACAGAATCAACACTGAATGCAATTGAGTCAAATTTAAATCAGGAAATCAGATCTCCTACAGTAAATACACTACAAGAATATTCCCACTAAATGATATCATATTGTCACGTCCTCTGTCCCTGCCACTTCAGCCTAGCCGGGACACTCTCTCTCTCTGTCTGTCAGTTTTGTGCTTTATTGCAGGAGTGGGATCCGGTGTGCAGGAGCTTGGCAGCACCTGCTCATCATAATCAGCCTCTTCTGCTTTATATACTGTGCTTCCACTCCACCATGCTGCCAGATCGTAGATTCAACTACACCGTTAGTCTTGTTCCAGCACTGATAACGTTGTTCAGTATTTTTGAGCCTTGGTTAATGCGTCTCTTTCTGCCTGCACTCATTCCTGGTCCGACTCCTGCCTCCTTCCCACTCCCGCACAACCCGAACCTGCACTGGATCCTAATAACTCTCCCTGGCTCAAGTCCCTGCCTCAGCTCTCCCAAAACTAAGAGACTCTTAAATACTTAAGGGTGGTGATGGCGCAATGGATAAGACTATCCCTTTGGTGTGAGAGACCTGGGTTTAATCCCCCACTGTGACCCACCCACCATTGTGTCCCTGAGCATGACACTTAACCCCTAGTTGCTCCAGTGCTCCGTGCAACCTCTGACATGTATAGCAACTTTAAGTCGCTTTGGATAAAAGCATCAGATAAATGTACTACTTAGTTTGGCAATAAACTCTTTTGCATCTGTTCCTCGTCTCAGTCTCTGTGTCCTGCAGTTGGGTTTACACCACTAGCGTGCTAACATACAGTACAGCAGAACTAGAAATATCAGCCAATACGAGCTTATGGCAGATTTATTGGTACTGGTTACTGTATGTTGGCTGACAAGCAAGAATGTTCTTAGTTTACATAGAGAGACTCATGTGAAGCAACTGACCACTAACAGCAAATGGTTACACAGTAATCAGATTTGATTTGCCAAATTCCCAAATACATACAATTTTTGTTAAATCAACATAATCAAAATATATAACACATAAGGCGGAGACTGGGTGGCGGAGGGAGGTGTGCTAGCAAACAGGGTTGGCATAAGTATATCAGCAGAGTCACAGTGAAAAATGTCTGGTTAAATTGGCCGTGCGGCATACACCTGCATGAATATGTTCCTATCCGGCTGGTAGCCGGATAGCTGGTGAATGAGCCAGTGATTGTGAAGCATGGATGAAACTGCATCAGCTAACGCAAACGTGACCTTAGTGCACTGCTTGAACTAATGATGCCTTCCATTTTACATTTGAAATCAGAAATTCCAAGTTCCCAGTCAGAAATTTCAACTTAAGTTGGATTTCCAAATTGGAAAGTCGGGAGAACCTCACAAACCCCAACCTCAAAATCCAAGATGGCTGCTCTGAGCATCACCATAGTGAAAGCTGTAGTAATGTTCTGCTTATTGCACTTCTGTCTTTATTTGTGTCGCATTAAATCAGTTGTACACAGTCCCGTCCAACTTCTATCTGCCGACATGTTGCTACGGTTTTTCTATGCACAATATACAGTGTAATGCGTTGTTATCAACTAGTATTGCTAGCAATGGCTGGAGGCGTCCATTTTGGTTTTCCAACTTAAGTCTGTTGTTGTATTGGAACTCAAGTGTGACGTCATTTCCAGCTCCACCATCCGACTTCTGAGGTAAATGGAATGCAGCATTATGCTATGGTTCATTTATGATATCAAATTGCTTCTGCTTTGCAACTGAACTGAACACCAACACAATACGTTCATATGTTCAACGATTCCATTAAAAGCCGTTAATCATAATATTTAATTATGTCCCAGCACTATTGAAAATTAACTTTCAGTGCAGACCATCTAGAGAATCTGAGTGTAATATTCAATCATGTGACAATTACATTACCAATAGTCACATCTGATAACCAAAAGCTTTTAAAGAACAT